GGGTCTGTTCCATGATGTTAGCAAAATACACCTCCTTGATGACTTAGCTCTGTGTCTGGAAAAAGGACATGTGCTTGAAGGTACCTCTGTCTCTGACTCAAGTGATGTTTTTTTAAAGCCTTGTAAAGCCAAACTAGAGTTGGTAACTGGACTCATTAATGCATTTCCTCCCTAAAGTTTATGCATCCTTTCATTGTTTTTCCCTCGCAGATTTTGACAGTGAGGAACTAGAGAAGGAATTGGACTTCCTCCTTCAGGACACCACCAAAGAACCTTTGGAGCTGCCCGACAACCCTCATGAGACGTTTTATACCAACAGTGTGCCTAACCCTAGGATCTCAGATGCTGAACTTGAAGCCGAACTTGAGAAACTGTCCTTATCAGAGGGAGGTATGGAGCTGTTTTCTAGGGCTGCTGGTGGGCGAGTGGCCGTCTGGATGACAGAGCAGCCCAGTGCAGAGTTGGGGAGTCCCAGCCCAGTTACTCAGTTTGCTTGGGTACCAAAGCCCTGGAAAGGAATCAGGGGATTCCTTATGTCTATTAAGACTTAGTCCCTTAAATACTGGGATGCTTTTGTCTTAAAGATTTTTCTGTTACCAGTGTTAATTTTTCACCTTGCAGGTTTGGTCCCAAGCAGTAAATCTCCGAAAAGGCAATTGGAACCGACTCTCTAAAGCCATTGCAGGACCCTCAAGTAATGGACTTTCATGTAAAAGAGAGACCAGGCTTGTGTGTGTGTACATAGTTATTTAAATGAGAAACTCAGAATTTGTTGGGAAGAGGAGGAAGGAGAACCACTCTGACCTATCTGGATGCTACCACTTACTACAGGACAGATGTAATCTCTGGCAGCAGTGCTCGAAAGGCTTGCTCCCAGCTGGTATTGAGGACCTGCCTTCTCATCTTTCTAGTGCCACAATTTATACAGTTCTGTGTTTGACCTGTTGTCTCCCATAGCCTGCAGTTCTTGCCATTGGCTCAGTTAGGTTTGTCTTCACCCACCAGCTTCATTCCAGCCAGTGAAGGTGAAAGATTTGCAGCTTTGCCAAATTAACATCAGTCCTCTCCCTCCTCCATGGTTTTAAGAGAGATTTATTCTGTCTCTAATGTCGGTTAAACAACCTACTCCCATCCTAATCGATTTTCATTGGTAATGAGGCTGAGAATCAAATGCTTACAAGTTTTATGCAAGGGGACTTAACAGCTGCCGCTTTATGGAGAAACATACAGTGGAAAAGATTTTTCTCTAGGGTCATGTATCAGATTCTCCAGGTGTTCAGAAAACTTGGTCACTCTCAGTGGCTCAGTGTGCTGACAGTGGGAGGGGGCCGGTGTGGTTGGTGGCCGCTGCCTCTCCTCTCCTATCTTGTGCAGAAGAAGATCTGCTGCCTGCAGAAAGGGTTATCCTTGGTCTTTTGAACTTTAACAGGGAGAGGCCCAGGTGACCATAGGGCCTAAAATGTCCCAACCCCATCTGCTTTCTTAAAGAGGCAAGACTTTTGCCTTGGCCCCATCATGAAATAACTTAAATTAAAAAATATATACCTATTTTCTAGAATAAGCCACACAACAACACACCTCCCCTTCTTGAGCCTGGTACACAGTGAGCTCTTTGGATTCAGAAAGCATTCGGTGTAGCCCACTGCCCGGGGCAGGCAACCTGAGCCAGGACGTGCAAGAGAAGCTGGTGGTTGTGGCTTTTTCCCCGTCTTCCCCACCCCCCCCGGGCCCCCC